TTGAATATTTTGTTTGATGGTAATTTTATTATTGTGCCAAGTTTTATGGCCTTTACTTTTATTGTCTAATCCTATCCAACAAGCAATAATACCTTACTGTTGTATTTTTGTAGGGTTTTCATTGTGAATGATAATATATTGACCAAATTCGTATATATTATCAATTGTTCTGTGTGTTCTGTAACGTTTGTAATGTAGGGTATTGTAATTTAAAGCAGCACACAGTGTTCTATTATGAATATAGGTAATATGAATTGTTGCTTCAGCCCATAATGTAAACAGTAATTTAGTAGATGTTAGATATGCTCTTACACCTCTAAATATAGTTTTATGAGTTTGTTCTGCTATTCTGTTCTGTTGTAGAGTATGATGTACTGTTAATCTTTGTTTTGTTCCTTGTGAATCTAAATATTGTTGGAAATCTTTACTAAGGAATACAGTATTGTTATCACTTTGTAAAAGCTTTATTTTAACTCTGTGCTGTGTAAATATTTTGGTTGTCCATTGTACATATTGTGTATATGCATTAGATTTTGTTTGTAATTTGAGTATTATACACTAACAAGTAGAATTGTTTACAATCATTAATAAGTAATGTATGTTCTTATATGTGTACAGTTTGATAGGACCAATGATATTAATATGAATAAGATCTCCAAATTGATTTGCAAGAGGAGATTGACATAGTTTTAGTATTAGTGTATGTTCAATATTTGCTTTTATACATTCAATACATTCTTTTTCTTCATAGTTCATTATTTTAGTTGATAGTACACTTGGTTGTGTCTTTAATAATTGTTTAATATAATTGTAACTTATATGTCCGAGGCATTTATGTATATTATAAATAGATAGTTTGTTCATTGTTTTTAATAAATGATTATTGTACAAAATATACAAGTTATTTCTCAATCATATATGTCTGATGTATTCATTACATAGTGATGTTATACTACAATTATTGTTTGTAAACATAAAAGAATAACCTTCTCTACATAGTAGCACTTGACTTATGAGGGAAAAGGTCATTTGTGAATAGTAATAGACATTTTGTAATGTTATGACGCTTTTTTCTTGTATATTCTTCGGAATTTTGATACACATAGATCCAGCTCAATTAAGAGTCATTGTTGATCTATTTGCAATAGTTACAATTGTAGGAGTTATGTTGTGTACATTTGTTAATCAAAATAGATAAGGAGTAGCATGTATTGATACACTGGAATTGAGTAAATCCATTGTTTGTGTATAGGATTTCTTGTTAGCTATGATTGTATTTGTAAATACGTTAGTACATACCCAGGAAACGTATTGTTTGAATTGTTTGTCCTGGTTGCTCAGAATAAGAGTATAGGCATTATTGTTCATTTCAATGTTGCCTTCCTTTAATTCAATGTTGTTTTCGTTTAGGTTTTTAATAATAAATGTGTTTGTTGTGTTTTCCACAGTTTGATTTGTTTTATACACAATGTTAGCTTAATGTTTGGCATGTGCAAGCTTTGTAGCTTTAGTAGGAGGTTTGTAGCATTCCTTAGAGAAATGTCCTGTTTTTCTACAATTGAAACATTTTGCTTTTGTCAGATTGAACAGATTTGGCAGATTGAATTTCCTCTACTTATTAGCTTTATACATTGTATTAATGTGTGCATTATTCTTTGTCCAATCATTAGAATCTTGTGCTTGTTTAGCACAGTAATTGTTGTAGGCATTCTACAATGTAAGGATTAGTTGCTTTGGTTCAACTTTCTTATGTTCATCAACTGGTTTGCCTTTGTTTTGAGCATCAGTAGATTGTATTATTGTATTTACTATGTGTGTATATTGCTCAGGAGTAGCAAGCAATATTACTACTTTGTATGTAGAGTTGTGTGGTGGATCACTGTTAGTAGACAGAGTTGTGTATGCTTTCTCAAGTCTGTCTAATGTATGTCCAAAATGTTTTACATGGTCTCTACAAATAAACAGTACTGATTTGTTGATAGCCTTTTTATGTACTGTCTGGGGGTTAAAGTGTTCTTCAAGTGCTTTCATTAACTGAGGGATAGATGTATTAAAGTGCATATAGTTTGCTAATATTGTGTTAGCAATGTTATTAACTATGTATGCATGAATGGCCTTAGCCATCTCCCTCTCAGCTTTGTTCTGTGGTTCATCCTTTAGTAAGTGTTCGAAGTACATAGCTGTAACACTAGAAACAATGTAGTAGTGTTACATCTTGTAGTTTGCTTCAGTCTTAAGTATTGTAATGTTTTGACTAAAGTATTTAGGTACATTGGCTGGTTTACAGCACGTATCTGTATGTGGGGGAACCATGATGCAAATGTGTGCAAATGTATGCAAGTAAAGAGTTAAGAGTGTACAGTAGATGTATGTATGCAGGGAGCTCAAGACTCATAACCTGTTAAGAGGGAAAACTTAAGGGGGGCATGCATAGACAAGGGGTGAGGTGATGATTGACTGCTCAGTGTCTCTCATCCTTATATTGTATGTATTCTAACTGAGACATTATGAAGTCATCATCTTGTGGTTTGTCCATTGATGAACTAATCATCTCATAATATAAGGTGAATTTGTAGGGCACAGAGTGTGTAGAACAATCTGAAGAGTTCAATCTTAGCTTCAGAGTATTAGGATTGTACTTTGTTCTAGTTAATTGATCTGAATCAGTTAATTCAACAATAACTGTTAAGGTGTTCTTGTCTGAGATAGAATCCTACACTAATAATAGATGAGTCTACAGTAACAATAACCTCTATGTCTAACTCATAGTTAATAGCACATAAGGCAGGGCTATTAATAACAGTATCTTTAAGTTTGTCTATTACTACTATGTGTTCTGAACAGAACTCAAACAGAACATTGTGCTTGGTCAAATGTATGAGTAGTCTAGTAAGCTGAGTAAAATTTCAAATAAACATACAGAGGACACTTACAGTTCTGAGGAATCCTCTAACTTTAGAGACAGATTGATATGTAGGCTAGTTGCAGATTTTCTAGACTTTTGAATTATCTGGCTCCCTTCCAGCATAAGTACACTTATAGCCTAAGATGGTTGTGTACAGTTGGAACACACACAGCTTCAGACTGGAGAATGTTCTGTAGACTGCTTTGACTTACTGTATGATACAGTTTAGATTGTAAGTATGTTTCTACACAAATTGTTAGATACTAGGGTTTCTGGGAACAGTTTTGTATGTTCTGTCCAGAAGTTTGTATCTTGTAGTTCTGCCTTTAACATAGATGTTATTAGTGTAGGGTTGTACTGTATTAGGAATTTTGTTCTATAAAATAAAAGTAATATCACCATACATAATTTGAAAAGAATTAGTATAACCTATCAGAATAACAGTAAGTTAGAATGTTCTGAGTAGTGTCTGAAACATTGTAAGATTGTAAGAGTATTCATTAAGAGAGTATTGGTTGAAGGCAACAAAGAGATCTAGTATAAAGTAAATAGCCCTTCTAGAGAAGGATTCAACAACCTGTTCAATCATTAGAGGTACAGATGAGTCTCAGATTGAAACTTGGTTGAGTTCCTAGAGGTTGTAGACTAGGTGTAGAGACTTTCTGTCTTTCTTTACTATAGTAAACTATTAGGAACAGTAAGATGAGTTTGACAGCTTGTAAACTCTAGTAGTGATTTTGTCTTTAAGAATTTTCATAACTGTGTCAAGGTTTCCCTGTAGAATCTGGATGTTCCTTTGTACCTATAGAATATGTGGAACAGTTAGAATCAATATTAGATTAAAGTATTTCAGGTCTAGAGCACCTTTCTCAAGCTTGTTCCAGGCAAAGGCATCCTTATACATCAAAATCAGGTTGATTAAAAGCTGGCACTCTTCTAGCCAGAGGAAGTTGTATAGATTAATGTTAAGAGCTTCTATACATTCTTGTATGAAACAGTGTGTTAGAACAAACAGTTTAGAGTACAGTAGTAGTTCTGATATGTTCTTTAACAGATTAGGATACTTCTGTTGAATGATCTGAAACTCTTCTAGGAGAGTTCTAGCAACTGGTCTAACCTTCTTTACTACCTTCTTGTATACAAATACATTTTCTCTAGGACTGTTAGGTGTGTATAGAACAAAGGGGTCTAATTCTAGAGCAAGTAATAGGGTGGCTAGACAACTAAGGAGTAGATTGACTATAGTAGAGACTAGTGTGTGTCTATTATAGGATAGTGTGTGTGTGTTAGGAATTACAGCTTTAGTAGTATTAGAACTCAAATCAGAACACTGTTTGTTCTAAACACTAAGGGGCTGATTGACTAATATAGGAGTTGAGAGATTAGTAATTATTACAAATCCTTGTTTGTTGTGTTTCTACAGAACAGTTTGTGTTCTAGTCATAACTCAGCACTTCTGTTAACAATCTGAGGGATCTAATAGTGTTATAGATTGGTTACTGTTAATAAAGTCCTTTGTTTTACATTCTGTGATAGTAAAGAATAGTTAGCCTAAGAGTGCCTCAAACAGGGCTTGACAAACAACTTGAGCTTAGAGGGTAATGTTAACTCTAGCAATATTGATCTTTACATTCTTAACAGTACTAAGTATTAGTACTTGTTTAGAGTTAGTAGTTTCAAGCATAATTGTAAGATTAGAATGTAGATAGATTCTGAGACATTTTTATACATCCTTGTAAATGATACAGAGTGTTACTCCTTAGTCTAGAATATAGTAGATTTCTTCAGTATCTTTGAAGATAGCTTTAACTGTATATAACAGTATAGTCTGTTCTGTAACTGACTCTAGACTCTATGTGTGTTATAAGATTTAAGCTACAATTGTATCTTTAGAAGTTATTAGTTCTGAGAGTTCTGTTAAGACAAGGTGTGTAGTAGTGTTTAGAACTTGCCTAGTGGATGACAGTTCCTTAACTTGCTTTCAGACATTAGGTGTAATTAATAACAGCTCCTTTAGGGTGAGACTAATACTAGAGTCTAGAATGTGAGAGACTATCTGCTAGACAATGACAGGGTCTTTAATGAGAGAGAGATTATAGTACTAATGTAGTTCTAGTAGTAGTTTAACAGTAAGCTTGTTAGTGTGCTTCAATCTGTTATACTTTAGGGTCTGACTTACTTTAGTAGGTAGTGTAGGCTTTAGTTCTAGCTTAGGTTTCTTGTCCTTCTTCTTTGAAATACTTGTTGTTCTGTGTCTCAGAACCTCTACTCTGTCAAACTTGAGCTTCTTACTAGTAGTGACTTTCTTCTTTGTCTCTCTGAGTAAGACTTTGTATTAGATTACACTCTAGATTAGGAAATCCCTAATTGCCTTATATAGAATTACTATACTTGAAATGTCTCAGACTATTAGACTTTACTATGTAGTATATAAGGTAGACACTTGCTTAATGTCTTAATAAGAGAGAGTACTTAGGGCACTCCTACTATACTTATTAAAAGGTTATAAGTCTTAGTACTTATTAAATACTCTTACACACTTGCTCTTACAGAATGTCTTTACCTTCTACTAGACTACTAAGCCTAAGACCTTCCTCTCCCTCTAAACCCATCACAATGTTGTCTACAATGTATACCTTTGTTAATACTATAATGAAGGACTCTAATGTTACAAAGTTCTTTGAGGGAACAGAAAAGTTGGCTAGTATAAAAGGATACAAGATATAGTACTTACACATACACAGTACACTCACTACTATAATACTCTTAGACCATCTAGAGCACAATCCCCCTTCCTCTAATGATGCTAGCATATGTACAGACAATGTTTTGTATCATTATATAATGAAAACAATAACTGATACAATTTATACAAACTTTACAACACATACAAGTGTTAGAAGTCTTATAAAGGTACTTTCTGAATAATACAATGTTCAAACAATGATGACACATGCTATAAACATATCTCTGTTGTTTACAGTAAAAGGGTATGTATTACAGTTTGATAAGATGTTAGACAACATTGAACAAATCTACAGACAGTTGTCTGTACATAATAAAGCCTCTAATAACAATACATTAAAACAATCAGTATTACACTAAGAACTGTACATTACATGCAGACAATCACAGTGATCAATTCTGAACACCCACATGACTCATAGAAGCCTACTCTGAGAACACTCAACTATTCCACATTACAAGCATTCACAAACAGAACTACAAGTGTGTACAGTCTTGGAATTGGCTTACACACATTGTTTTCCTCACAGGATGTACAGATCACATACTTATCACAGGCTCAGAACACAAGTTGTGTCATAGTAAGTGGCTCAGCAAACTATTATGTTATTATTACTCAGATCAAAGTACTGTAATCTTCCAATCAGATAGGACATTAGGGCAATTAAAGTGATGATCTTAGGAGACAGCTGGAAATCTCAGAACTCTCTACACTTTGTCTGTACTGATCAGATGATAACAGTATGAGAACCTTCTACTTCTTTCAATGTAAATCTTGCTTTTCTCTTTTGTATAACATTTCCTGTAGTTAGAATACAGACTACTTAAATTTTCCTCATACATTTTCACCCCATTTTCTTCCAACCTCTGGCAAAAGGTTCTCTTATTTGTTCTTGTATATTTTGTTATTTTTCTTTTGTTCAGCCATGAAATTTCCCTGTTAGTACTATGCTTTTCTAGAACTCAGAAAAGTATAAATACAGCTACTCATGTACTAGATATGGGGGGAATTCAGATAGTTTACCTATTAATTTAGCTCTTGTCTCTTGTCTCAAAGTCCTCTAGTGTGAGGCATAGTCTTAGTCTTTATTGTTTTCTGTATCAGATTGTTTGTTGTGTGCTTTACAAAGTGTACTTTCCATTATTCACATCTCTTCTAAGGTTACAACCATACTAGAAGAACTTGCACCTGTTCAGAACTACTCTAGTCTCCTAAGACTCATGGTTTAGCTCCCCCTCAAACTTAACAATTCACCTGTGTTCTTCTCTTAGACACTTTACAGGAGTTTCATCTGGAGCCTACTGTAAGGGGGGTTTCTATAGTTAAACAATATGAGTTCCAACAGTTCTCAGTATCCCAAACAGGTTTCTCAGACACTAGCCTGTAGCCTTAGGTCAACTCAGTCACAGTCAGTACTAGTACCTGTATTGAGCAGAACATGCAGATCTGCTAGAATCCAATTACACTACAAAACATTCAATAGTCTGAACACTAGAAGTACAGAATCTGATATTGTAGAAACCTTAGGAACACTATTAGAACAGTAGAGCACTCAAGTCAGTAATAAAGAGGAGGAAGAAGAAGACCTTGTAGCATCATCACTCAATCCTCAAGTAATCAGTTTCTGAATTCACAACAAACTACTACATTTTATGTCTCTAGGATTGTGTACAAGATTGCCAGCTACTCTACAACTTTCCCAAACTGTATCAACATTGTAACTGACTATAACTAGAACACTACATTGTAGAAGAGCACAGTTGTCTCTACAGGAAACAGAGACAGTCCAGTAGCTAGTATTATTACTCTCACTAGCAACTAGTGTATCATTAACAACACAGCTCCAGTTACAGTAACAACAACTTGTAAGTAACATGTAACTACTTTAGCAACTACAAGTAAATACACAAATTCTATTACAACCAAGACCAGTAGTACAGCTAATGGCTACATTGAACATTCTGAAGCCACCTTGTTGTAGAGCATGTAATGTACTGTCCTTTGACAGAACCAAGCTCTAAGAGTTGTAGAGGTATTTTGTAGACATGGAAAGTCTTACAAACAAATGTAACATAGTTGGAGCAGATATCATTCTGCTTACAATAAAGTATGTGTCTGTAGAAGTGGAGGATTTGTAGGATAATACAGATAAAGTGTCTTAGGATACATTTAAGACAGGAGTAATTGTATATTACCTGAGTCTTAAGACAGGAGTACAATATGCTAGAAGTGACTTAGATACTGTAGTACAGAAA